TTAGTAGGACTGTTTTGCGTATGTATTATTATTTTGCTGAATATGTGCAGTAGTTGAAATGTATTATCCACCCAAGGTGGAAGTCCATTTGAGCTGATACGCCAGAAAGCTCCAGTCATGGTGTGTTGGACCAGGTTTAAGAGGAGAGTTCTATAGTTAGCATTGAGTTTGACTCTCAGCTCTCTTAACTCTTTAGTGACACTGGGTGAGCTCCTAACATTTTAGACCCTTTTCTATAATATAATCAGAGTATATCCTCAAAATAGCTGAAGAAGTAAATATAAAAGTTCTTGGCTCAGTGGTTGCCTATATAATAAGCAATAACTGTTCTGTGTTAGTTTTAATTAAAAGACTATCTTCTTGGGCTGGTGAGATGGCTCAGTGGTCTAAAGCACCTACTTAGAACAAGCTTAGCAAAGCACAGGGACCGCGGTTCAATCCCCAGCACCACATGCCAGCCAGCCCTGCCCCCTGGTGGGCTGAGCTGGCCACACACACACATAAAATAAGTAAGAATATCTTCTCTTAGTATAACCTTAATGACTATTACAGAATGTTAGTTGACAGTATAAGGATAAAATAAGACTTCCTACCAGCTTAGCCTACAGGGATCATAGCTGACCTGAGAGGTACAAACTACCCTACAACTACCTGACCCACAAGCACAGCAGGGTTAACAGTACACTTACTGTTATCTGGATGATTCCCTTTCCTTTTGCATATGTATATTTTCCATATAATTTTGATAATACTGTATATAACTTTTTGTTTCTTCACATAAAATCTAAGCTTTTTTCCAATCATACATAGTTTTTAATGGCTGGATAATACTTTTACCGGGTACCCTTATTTCTAGCTGTTTAAGATATTTCAAATTTTTATTTTAGGGCTGTTCCTGAATATTGTTTAAGTTGTATCATTGACTTGGCTTGTACAAGTAGAGTTCTTGAGTTAAAAGTTTTGTTGTCTTTAATACTCAGGTAGATACACTATATTGCTGAGTTGATTACTAGAAAGGTTTCAGCAGTTCAGTTGTTTTCTAAGTATGAGAAACTCCCTCTCACGCAGCCTTTCATGCATTGTGTATTGAAAGGCAAGGCCGGCTAGATAGTTGGACTAAAGTGCCTGCTTAGGCAGAGCGCAGGGACCGGGTTCCATCCATAAGCCATGTCAGCCCTACCCCCAGGACATGTAGAACCTGCGATTGAGACTGCATGGTGGTGTGTACCTATAATCCCAGGGCTTGGGAAGCTGAAAACAGGAGGAACACTAGGGAGGCTGAAAACGATCACTGTGAGTCCGATCTGTGTAGTGAGACTCTAGACTCTGTACTAAATACGTTTTTTTTTTTTTTTTTTTTAAATTATTTATTTATTTATTTGTGTGTATGTGTGTGTGTGTGGCCAGCTCAGCCCACCAGGGGGCAGGGCTGGCTGGCATGTGGTGCTGGGGGATTGAACCGCGGTCCCTTTGCTTTTGTTAAGCTTGTTCTAAGTAGGTGCATTAGACCACTGAGCCATCTCACCAGCCCAGCTAAATACGTTTTTAAAAAAGGTCAAAGAGTAGCATTTATTTCAGTTTTTATCTTTTTTTTTTTTTTTTGCTGTCTCTGAATACAAAGCTTTTCTGTTTATCAGTCTTATGTTTCCTTATTTAGATCTTGTTTGGCTTTTTCTTTATCTGTTTTAGGAGCTCTTATATATTAAGACTTAGTTTTTTCTTATTTTAATCGTTTTCTGTAAACATTTTATAATGAAAACATTTTTTTTTTCCAGATTCATCATTTTTTGGATTTTGTGAAACAAATTTACAAGGAACTTCCAAAAGTAGTGGTATGTTTTTTACTATAGTTTGAATGTATTAGTTATATTTATTATTTTATTCCAGAGGAAATTTGGAATGATTTGTCTGAAGAAAAAATAGGGGGAAGGTAGTTTTGCTAATTTTAGGGTGGAGAATGTTTAATGATGGTTAAAATCTAGGTTGCGGCTAGAGAGATAGCTTGGTGGTCTAAGTACCTGAGCACAAAGGGTTCAATCCCTGGTACTGCGTGCCTTGCTGACCCCAGACCCTGGTCATACTGTGCCAGTGACGGAAATTGGGTGTGGCAGTACACTCCTGTAATCCCAGGGCTGGGGAGGCTGACACAGGAGGATCACTGTGAGTCTGAGCTATGTAGCAAGACCCTATACCAAATAAGTACAAAATTAAAAAAAAAAAATTTAAATCTGGATTGATAAATCAGCCATTCAAAAAGTTCTTTTGATTTCCCTATTGAGATTAAATACTTTTGATATAGAAACAATATATTTTTACTATTGAGACTTTGAAAAAAAGCATAAAGCACTTTAGCTGTAATTCTGATTTGTCAGCATGATTGACATTTTGTTTTTCACTTTGCATTTCATATATGGTAAAGCTCATAATCTTGAAGCTCTTTGGGAGAAGTAATAATATATTTGCCTTTTTTTTTTTTTTTTTTTTTTTTTTGCGGAACCAGGGATTGAACTCAGGCCCTTGTGCTTGGCAGGGAAGCACGTATTCCACTGAGCCATCTCCCCGGCCCCTTGGCATATTTTTATATATCATTACATCCCTCTACCCCCCTACCCCCTGGCCCATATTGTTACAAACTCTACAAGCATGTTGATTTCTTCCACAAAATGTCAGACATATTTTGTGTTTGACTCTATGACAAACAAGTTTTATTCTCTTTACATAGAACCGCTACTTTGAGAACCCTCAGGTGATCCCCGAGAACACAGTGCCTCCCCCGGAAATGGTTGGTATGATAACCACAATTGCTGTGAAAGTTAGTCCTGAGCGTGAGGACAGTGAGACACGGACAGTAAGTCTTCTCAGCTGCTCTGCTGAGTTATTTTTATTGCTTTGCTTTGTTTTGTTTTCATCCACTGCTCCTGGTGTTGATAGAGGGGGAAAAATGAGATGACATTTTAGATGGTTAATTCTCTCTTTTTCTTAAATACTTGGAGGCATTTAATTAAGATACAAATGTGTGTGCCTGGCAAAGTACCACTGATTCTGCTGTGTAGCTTAAAAATGGCTGTAGGTGAACCTTTGGGCTCCGTTGATGCTAGGATATAAAGACCAACTTGTCCCAGAAACCCAGAATCTCCTTCAGGAAAGACCAGCAGACCAGGTTTAGGATAATCTATCCTTTATATCCTTAGCATTGAGTATTTTGTTTTTGTTTTTTGAGACAGAGTCTCACTGTATAACTCAAGTTGGCCTTGAGCTTACTGTATTGTAGCCCAGACTGGCTTTGAATTTTTTTTTTTTTTTTTTTTTTTGGTGGAACTGGGGATTGAACTCAGGCCCTTGCGCTTGCCAGGGAAGCACTTATTCCACTGAGCCATCTCCCCGGCCCCCGTGGCTTTGAATTTATAACCGTTCTCCTGTCTCAGCCTCCTAGATTACAGTTGTGTACCAGTGCCCCTGGCAACATTGAGTTTTGACAGTAATGAAGTTCCTGAGACAATAGATAAAATTGTAGTTGAGTAACTGAGAGCATGGGCTCTGGAGACACAGAGCCCCAGGACAGTGTTTCCATCCACTGCTGTTCTGGTGTAGAGAAAGGGCTAAACCTTGGTTCTGATCTTATTTGTCCTGTTATGTGAAAATACTTCGTCATGGGCCTTTTGTGAATCCTGTGTTGTGTGGGAATTTTGTGGCATTGTCTGCAGGTATTGTGTTTTTTGTTTTTTTAGTGTTTGCCACAGAGATAACGTGTATTGTGGTTTTATCATGTATTCTTATCATTAAGTGATAATAGTTTATCACTCACTTATTTAATTTAAATGTTAATTTATTAGAACTCAGAAGGCTGAGGCAGGATTACTGAGTTTGGGCTGTATACTGTTCAAGGCCAGCATGAACTATATATAGCAGGACCCTGTCTCAAAAAAAGGAATATTTCAATTTCTGCTAAGATGAACAAGAAACTGAATTTTAGGTAAAGCTTTCATTCCTTTGTTCCCTGAATTAGGAACTTTTTGCTCTGAATGCCTTCAGAGCAGTTTTGACTGGCTTGAGTTGTGGGGATCGAACCACAGCAACCTGAGCCTGACTGCTTTGTTGAAGCAGCCACTTAACTGAGCTAAGAGGCAGGCCCCCAAATTAGGAACTTTTCTGTGTGTAATTCCCCCCTTTTTATTTTTGCGTATCTATTCATATGTCTGTTCTTTTTTTTTTGGTGGAACCGGGGATTGAACTCAGATCCTTGCGTTTGCCAGTCAAGCACTTATCCTACTGAGCCATCTCCTTGGCCCTATGTCTGTTCTTATCATATGTCATTTGTATTCTAAATGTGACATTTGCCTTCATGTTTGTTCTGAGTTCTTCAATCAGGCTTTTTTTTTTTTTTTTTTAAACATTCATTATAAATATTTTCTGTTCAGAAATAATTTTAAATAAAACTGCTGGTCAAGGAGTTACATTTTTTGATGCTTTTTTTGCTGTTCTTTTAAGTAGAAATACTAGTTTAAAATTTACTTACATGATTTGAATCTTTGATTGATTTTCTTAAAGTTTTTTTAGGAACGGTTATGATAGAAAATACACAAACTATTAAATGATAGATCCTGTGTTTTTTGTTTTTTTTGGAACTGGGGATTGAACTTGGCCTTGCGCTTGCCAGGGAAGCGCTTATTCTCATGAGCCATCTCCCTGGCCCTGAACGATAGATCTTGTTTATAAAGATGTTTCAGTGTTCTGTTTCTGTCCATTCCTGTTTACTGGGACAATGAATGGGTTATTGTAAATATTGCAGTGAAAACTAGTTGTTCTTTCTTACAGCATTCCATCATTCCCAGAGGATCACTTTCTTTGAAAGTATTGGCAGAATTGCCTATTATTGTTGTATTAATGTACCAGGTATGTATATTACATACTTATTTTTTGTATTTTCATTTATTTATTTTTTTAATGAGCAGAATATATTTATTGAGAGAAAGAACGCTCCTGTCCAAGAGAGGGACAGAAAGGGAGCTGGAGCAGGTAGTTCCCCCTATATTTTTTCTTTATGACAAAATACACAGCTAATACTCTGCAGTAAAAGATTATGATACACACGAGCAAATTAATGACTTCTGTAGCTTCTTTGGTATGACAGGTAATTTTGCTATGAAAGTATGAAAATCTGATATGTTTGCTTTCAGCTGTACAAACTGAATATCCACAATGTTGTTGCTGAATTTGTGCCCTTGATCATGAACACCATTGCAATTCAGGTGTCTGCACAAGCCAGGTGAGGTTTTTCTGGATAGCGGCATAACTGACTGTTACAGTGCATTACTTGCATGTAGTAACGCACTTAGTATCATCTTGCTTAAGACATCAAAATATGTGAGTGTTAAAATTGTTGTAAAATTACATGCGCTTTTTACTTCTTGAACTTGTGTTTCAATAATAATAGCTATAGTTTTAGCTCTTCATTTTGAAAAGATGGGATGTTTTGGTTTCTGTTATCTTGTAAATTTAGAAGTGTCATTAGATACTACTGTACTCACTGGGCTATCCAGGCTTTGCTATCAAATCTTTGCTCTGGTTGTTCCTTTCAGCATGAGTGCTGTGGTGTTCCTTACCTTTGTATCCTCTCACTTATTACCCAGAATTTCTGAACAGTTTAGCCGTATTTATCGTTTGGGGCCCTTTTTTAGACTTTATAGTATTCCTCTTAATGTGGCTTACTCTTGACTTGCAGCCTATCTGCTGAATCATTTGAGGACAGGATCTGGTGAGGATCATTTCAAACAACCTGATGGACCCAATATAGGCCTTGCATTGAGCATGTAGGGAACACTAAATAGTCTGTGTTGGAGTGGATCAGTCTAGCATCGAATTCACATTGTAACTGCTATGGAATGGTTTGGTGAGCTGTTTGGTTTAGGCCCTTTAAGCCCTTTGTCATTTGGAACTTTGTAAAAGTATAGGAACATGCATCTGTGTAGAAATAAATTGGTGGGCTTAGCCATTGTTATAGGCATTTAATACTAACATCAGGGGCTGGGGAAATAGCACAGTAGAATAAGCAGTTGCCTGGCAAGTGCAAGGGCCTGAAATCAATCCCTGGTTCTGGGGGGAAAAGATACTAACATCACTTAAAGAATGAAAACTAATACTGTAAATTTCATTCATTCCCAACTCAGGCAACATAAACTTTACAACAAGGAGTTATATGCTGACTTCATTGCTGCCCAGATTAAAACATTGTCATTTTTAGCTTATATCATCAGAATTTATCAGGTAAGTTCATTGACTCCTGTTTGTGTGTAATTTACATACAATGACATTCACCTTTTATGAGTGTACATTTCTTTGAATTGACAGTTGCTTATACTTGGTGACCATAAATACATTAAAATACAGACTATTTTCATCATGCCAAAAAATTTCCTTGCATACATTTTCTTTCTTTTTTTTTTTTTTTT